CACCTCCATTTGGACCTCCAAGACCATTCAGACCTCCACACTTCTCATGATGATGATGATGACGACGACAGTGATGACGATGATAGTGACGATGATAGTGATGATGACAGTGATGATGATGACGATGATCACAAACGTTTTGGTGGCTTCAGAGGATTTGGTAATAACAATCGATTTGGACCAAACAGAGGATTCGGCAACCAGAGATTTGGTAACCAGAGATTCGGTGATCAACAACGATTCATTGAAAATGAACATGCTGCCGGACGTTTTGGAAATCAAAGATTTGGTCAAAACAGATTCCGACAAAACTGGTAATGTAACTGAATTATCATATAATTGTATTAAACTGAGTTATTGCTTATCTCAGTTTCATGATCAATAAAATAATTATCTTTCGATATTGAACATTGAAATCATTTAATTTCGTCTCAGTTTCTTATTCGTGTAAATTGTACGAACAAAACCATACAGATCAAATGCATGCAAATGTAGCGTAAAATTGCGTCTAAATGTGATCGATGGTCAATCCCAATGCTCTCTACTCCAATTGATCATCAAATATCGTGCACAACCAGCCTTTGTCAAAAAATTTCTGAGTGAATATCAATGTACAGATTAAGCTAAACAATCTTGTCCTTTCGAATTTTTGCACCATAAGTTTTTCCTCTGATTATCATTTCGCTATTTTTGTGCTCATAAACAGCATTTAGACTGCTTTCAATAAAAACACACAGACAACATGGTAAACAAAAGTTTGCCATAAAGTCAGTTGAAGTAACAGAATCGCGTAAAATTTCATTCATGTGAATCTACTTAATAATCCACTTACTGACAACGAGAACTAATGCCTTAGATTGCATAGATACTCCATAAAGTACCAGAATGCGATACAACAATGCAATAGAAGATCTAATTCAAACTCTAATTCAAAATCAAATTGTGTTACTTAATAAAGGACTATGGACAAAAGCTTTGCCTTTCGAGTTGAGACTTGGTTTAGTTTGGTTATTGGTTTAGTTATTGTTTAATCTGAGTCCATTAGCGCAGTTAAAAAACTTTTAATTTTTAAATCCGGTCGTAAATATACGAAAAAAAACTTACTTTACAAACAAAACACATATCAACCCATTTCTTGGTAAATAAAGCAATTTTCTGGTTAATGTTGCAAATGTAATGCAAAGATCAATGCCAAAGACTCGCACATTTGAGTTATGAGTTGAGACTGATTGCTTCGATGACGATGATGACGATGATGAAGCTTGGATTGAAGACCATAAACATTTTAGTGGATCTAGAGGATTTGGTAACCAGAAGTTCGGAGGTTCGCGACGATTCGGTGAAAATCAACGATCTGATGGACGTTTTGGCAATCAAAGATTTGGACAGAACAGATTCCGGCAAAACTGGAATCTCTAACGAAGTTTTTTTCGGTTCCTTAACGGTAAGGCTAATTGAGAACCCGTCAGCTCACCTTTTGATCTTAAAAGTCTCAACTAGCTAGTTTAATCCTCAAGCTGAGGAAGATAATCAAATTTAATTAACTAAATTAGCTGTTGATCTATTTAAATTTATTGCACATCGGACTAGGATGGATTAGTTAAGGTTAAATCATATTTAATTCGATTGGTCACCTCTTAGCGCTGTTACTTTCATTGAAGCCAGCTATAACTTTGAAGATGCAAAAGCGAGCTGACAGGCTCTCGTTCACCTCCTCAACAATTGAATATCAGATAATCGAATCCTAATTTTTGCTGGGATTCGCTCAACTCTAATGTTTTGCATGGTTTAACTGTGCTTAAATTAAAGTACCCATTTCAACGTTGCTTTAACAATGTTAATAAATGAACTTACCAGATGATTGTTTGCTGACTATTTTGATTACATAAAAAGATTACAAAGAATTTAATAAATTCCTTCAAAGGTAAGTTATTTAAGTCATTCAATGTGAGACTAATCAGATGATATCGGAATCCTTTATGGCTTTCAATTGAAAATAAGCCAAAACTAAATACGATATATGGTATTATATCAAAATTTTATGCGAAAGAAACGGTTTCATTGAAACCTCTTTGGTTTCCAATTTTGAGATTCTAACACTTTAGTTAGTTTGAAGTTATGTCTGAGTTAATTAGTTAATTTAATATTAATTTAACAAATTCCAATTTCAGTTTGCGAAAAATGGTGTAATCTGATCGTTGGTCGTACAAGGAGAGTCAGATATTTGACTGGTGAGATTTTAATTTCCTTTAATGCTTATTCTCATTGTCAACCATTTTCCTAATAAAATCAATTATTAATTTCAGATCAATGGGATTATTTGCCTGATTGTTTTGGTAGTTTCGTAAAGCGACCTATTGATGTAACCTGTTTGAGCAAATTGTTTCCGAATTTAAGGGTTTGTTGACAGATTTTATATTATTTATTATTTAACTTTTATTGTTTTCTTTATTTTTTACAAATCTATATCTATGACAGATTGCCGACTTGTTTCACATATCAAATGTACTACGAAGTAATGAAACTATGATAATAAGAACGCCAATGAAAGATATTGATAAACTAATCAGAGATTCAGAATCTTTAAAAGGAATGATCTTTCCTTGTAATTACTATTTGGATTTTGAATTGATGCCGGAAATCGCTAACCTCGAAATGTTATCTACTCGGAACATCAGTCCAAAAATAAGTGGAATCTATGAAAATGTGAAACAATTGCACCTTTGGAACTGTAATTTAGGTATATTCGAATGCATCGCACATTGTTTTCCAAATCTTGAAAGGATGAAAATTTATGTTGCAGACGGTAATTGCATAAATTATAATATCTTTCATAGCTGCTTGTTGATGAACCTTTTCCATGTTTAGATGTAAAAGATTATCGCCCTGATCATCCAGCAATGGCAAATCTTAAAATATTTGAAATGGCTTTTTGCAGTTTTGATTGGCCTCGTGACAATTGCTATTCATTTTTATTCATGGACTTGTGCCCAGCATTACAGAGTGCTCATATCAGAATTGATTGCAGTCACATTGTGTTCAATGATTCGATAAAACATGCAAACTTACGAGATTTGGTTACACAATTTGTGAGTAGGATTTTGCCTGAGATGAGTTTTAGTTCTGAAAAGCGAGTTATCATGAATTCGCTTATCATTTCATTGTTGGTGTTCATGTTTGTCTCAATTGTGGGATAACTTTGATCCATAGACTGTTTCTGACAAAATTTTACAAATTAATTATGAATTAATTAATTATTAATTTTGACAATTTTAAAACAACTTTTTTTTCAATGCAATTGTTATTTACTCGCAAATTGACACTTTTCTTTATTTTAATAGTCAGAACCAATCGAATGGGATGAACTACGAAGACTAATGTTGAAATATCCAAATCTAAAGCATTTGGCATTACGAAATGAACTTTTAAGTGATGAAGACATCAAGCGATTGATATTAATTTTGCCAAAACTAACACTACTTGATATTCGTGAATCTAATGGAGTCACTCAAGAAGCTGCTGATCATGTGCGGGACTATTGTAAGCGGTATGGCCGATCAATCAAGATTTATTTCAAAGCCAACGACAAACAAATTGAAACTGACTGGCCGCAGTCATTAAATCGACCAGAACTAATCTGTCGTGGATTTGATTTCATGGAACATTGTTTTTTCAAAAATTTTTATTACTTACCTAATTTTTTGGATCCAATAGATGATTAAAAATGAAATGAGAAAAAATTGTTGATCTTTTGTACGTAATTTCTGTTGCAACTGTGAGGTTTTGGATGTTTAAAGAAATGTCTCATACCTCGATATCTTACTCAGACCATAATTATGGATCTTTGATGGAATTGACTGGTCATTACACCAATCAATGCTGGGTAACCGCTAGTCTTGAATTATTGTCACGCAATGTTTATGTGAGAAATGAGAAACCTATTAATGAATATTATGAATGATAAATAAATTATGAATTGCATCTAACGAAAAGTTACAGTTGATGACACGACTCGTCATCAAAAACTTTTCTACTTAACTTGCAACTTAGTCGTTTAACCTAACTTGCTTCCTTCATAATGGTTTCCGAATTTTGTAGAACCTTAACAATTTCTGATGAAAGCGTTTATGAATCGCAAGAATCATTTAAACTTCAGCTGCTCACACAAACCAATATATTTTCAAGTTCATAAAGCGCGAACTTACTGCATCTGTGTGATTGTTTTTTTAAATAAGCCTCGACATGTCGATCAAATCATTATCTTCAGATTATTCGAGTTAAAAGTATGGTTTTGGACTAAACAGAGGATTTGGCAACCAGAGATTCGGTGATCAACAACGATTCATTGAAAATGAACATGCTGCCGGACGTTTTGGAAATCAAAGATTTGGTCAAAACAGATTCCGACAAAATTGGTAATGTAACTGAATTATCATAAAATTGTATTAAACTGAGTTATTGCTTATCACAGTTTCATGATCAATAAAATAATTATCTTTCGATATTGAAAATTTAAATCATTAAATTTTGTCAGTGCTTTATTCGTGTAAATTGTACAAACAAAACCAGACAGATCAAATGCATGTAAATGTAGCGTAAAATTGCTGTCTAAATGTGATCGATGGTCAATCCCAATGCTCTCTACTCCCATTGATCATCAGGTATCGTGCACAACCAGCTTTTGTCAAACAATTTTTTAGCGAATATCAATGTTAAGCTAAACACTCTTGTCTCTTCGGATTTTTGCACCATAAAGTTTTTCCTCTGATTTTCATTTCGGTATTCGGTGTTTTCCACTCATAAACTGCATTTAGACTGCTTTCAAAGACAACATGATAAACACAAGTGCGCCATGAAAGTCAGTTAAAGTAACAGAATCGTGTAAAATTTCATTCAAGTGAATCTACTTAGTACTCCAACTTACTGACAACGAGAACTCATGCCTTAGATTGCATAGATACTCCATAAAGTACCAGAATGCAATACAACAATGCATTGAAAATCTAATTCAAAATCAAATTACTTAATAACCCGGGTTACTATTATGACCAGGAAAGAGCCTAAATTTAGCCAACTTACACAATCAAGAGCTTGATAACGTTTTGGCACTGATTTAGCTCAAATCTTACCAATTTTTTATTGAATTTTTACCAATAATTTATTAGATTAAAAACTTGAAAAAAAGGTTATTGGGATTCGAACCCAAACGCTACGAAGCATCAAACCATCCCTTTAACCACTAAGCTATGCTTTCTCATGATGAAAAATCAATCTAAACTAAATGCCAATAAAAAAATGGTCATTTAGCTAAAATCTTGTCAAGAAAATTTACCAAGAATTTTGGTGAACTAACAGCTAGATGCGAGTAAGAAATCAGCGCAACAAGAAATGAACGAGAGTTTGAAAAAAAATTAGCTATTCTCCCGCTCATTACCAAGTTTTTGGTAATATTCAGTTAAAAGAGTAACCCGGGAAAGGACTATGGACAGGAGCTTTGACTTTCGAGTTGAGAGGTTGACTTGGTTTAGGATTGTTTAGTTTTGGTGTGATATCACAAAATCTGAGTCCATTAGCGCTGTTAAAAATTTTTCGTTCGTAAATCCGAATGTAAATATACGAAAAAAAGCTTAATTAAACAAACAAAACACATCTCAACCCATTTCTTGGTAAATAAAGCAATTTTCTGGTTAATGTTGCAAATGTAATGCAAAGATCAATGCCAAAGCTTCGAAACTTTGAGTTATGAGTTTAAACTTGGTGGAGTTTGTACGGACATGTAAACTGAGTCCATTGGTGTGATTAAATAATTCATACGATAAATAGTTTTCTAGAAGATTAAGGTCAAAGTTGAAACTTCGATCGCCTTTTATTCAGCTAAAGAGACAGATTTTTTCATAAAACTCTGCTTTCCTGATGTAAATTTTGATGGCCAACCAGAAAATGGTCTTAATTTGAGGAAAAACTTTTTCTATTTCTGTAAAACGGATAATGATCGATTTTCATTTAAAACGATCGCTTCCTATGACCATATGAGTTAGAGAGCTTAAAATTTTTATTCGTAGATAAAAATTGTTGGTACACATCAACAACCCAAAACTTTTTCCAAAATAACAACAGTTCTCTTGATTTTGGCTATTGGGCTTAAAACTTTGATCCTCGATATTTCGAGAATGGTTTCTCCTACAATCATCATTCTTGTAGTCATCAGTAGATTTTAGCCCGGTTAGATGATAAATCTACAGAACATTACCGAATAATGAAAAACAATCGAGATAAATCAGCTAATAATGAATTTGTGGCTGAGTAACAATTCATCTTTGTAAATCAAATCACAAATCAGACATCATAAGGAAAGTAGTGCTATAACTTTTTTTCTTACATTTTCAATCACCTGAAATTTTAAGTTATTTTAGGTAATAATTAAATGTACTGATGATTCAAAGAATGATGATTGTAGGAGAAACCATTCTCAAAATATTGAGACCCAAAGTTTCACGGCCAATGGCCAAAATCAAGATATCCGTTTATTTATTGCTAAATTTTTTTTTATATTTGTTGTGTACGAGCAATTTGCATGAACAAATAATAAGTTTCAGGTCATTAACTCTTACGGTTATAGAATTCGATGGGTTTAAATGAAGGTCGAACTCAACTGTTTTAGAGAAAAATAAAGTTTTATTTATCAAGATAAATCTATTTTCTGGTTGTCCATCAAAAGTTAAATGAGTTTAATGAAAAATCTGGTACAAATCGTTGTACAAAAAGCGATGTAAGTTTAAACTTTGACCTTAACTATATCGAAAACTATCGATTAGAGAAATTTTTTAGTTGCTCTAATGGACTCAGGTTTTGTGAAGATTCATAAGGTTCAAAAAGGTTGCCAAATTTTGTAGTACCTTAACAACTTCTCTGAATGCAAGTGTTTATGAGTCAATGAATCATTTAAACTTCAGCTGTTTATAAAAACCAATGCATTCTCAAGTTCATGAAGCGCGAACTTGCTGCATCTGTGTGATTGTTTTTTTAAATAAGCCTCGACATGTCGATCAAAATACTTGACAGTATTTTCCGATCTATTTCGTATTAAACCAGGGTGAGTATCGCTAGTATATAATGCATCTTTTTGACTATTTTCAAATCATTATCGTTAGATTATTCGAGTTTAAAGTTTGATTTGATATCACAAAATCCCTTCCAAAATGCGTTCATTTACAATTGTTATTTTATGTCTCGTTGTCTACACTGTTTCTGGTGCAGCAATTGTATCACAAGACGAGTTGACCACTGAAAGTGCCATTGACAATCAGGAATCATCTGTAAACAATGAGGCTGAGGAACTTCTTAAGACTATTGATGACTTGCTGAAGGAGATCAATAATGCTTTGACCAACAATCGACCTCGACCGCCTTTCAACTTACCCCAACCACTATTTGGCTTACCTCATCCTCCATCCTTCGGACCAAGGCCATTCCCTGGATTCAGACCTCAACATTTTGATGAAGATGAAGATGAAGATGACGACGATGATGATGATGATTGCTTCGATGACGATGATGACGATGAATGGTTTGATGATGATGATGATGATGATGATGATGATGAAGCCTGGATTGAAGACCATAAACATTTTAGTGGATTTAGGGGATTTGGTAACCAGAAATTAGCAGGTTCTCGACGTTTCGGTGAAAATGAACGATTTGATGGACGTTTTGGCAATCAAGGATTTGGTTCTAACAGATTCCGACACAACTGGTAATGTAAATGCAGTCAATTGTATTAAACTGAGCTATAACTCATCTCAGTTTCATGATCAATAAATTAACTATTTGATGACATCGAGAAGTTAAAATTATTTGTATTTCTGTCTAAACCTAAGGTAATGTAGCAATTTAAGCTCTGATAATTCCGAAATGTATTTCATACAGGAAAAGAACTCAATGTTTATTGGAATCTCTAACGAAGTTTTTTTCGATTCCTTAATGGTTAGGCTAATTGAGAACCCGTCAGCTCACCTTTTGATCTTAAAAGTCTCAACTTGCTAGTTTAATCCTCAAGCTGAGGAAGATAATCAAATTTAATTGCCTAAATTAGCTGTTGATCTATTTAAATTTATTGTATGTCGGATTAGGATAGACTAGTTAAGGTTAAATCATATTTGATCCAGTTGGTCACCACTCAACGCTGATACTTTCATTGAAGCCAACTATGACTTTGAAGATGCAAAAGCGAGCTGACAGGTTTTCTTTCACCTCCTCAACAATTGAATATCAGATAATCGAATCCTAATTTTTGCTCGGATTCGCTAATAATTTCTAGATTTCAACTGTATTTGATTGAAGTAATCATTTTGAAGTTGCTTTAACAATGTTAATAAATGAACTTACAGATGATTGTTTGCTGACTATTTTTGATTGCATAAAAGATTTACAAGATTTAATAAATTGCTCCAAAGGTGAGTGTAATCATGTTATTAAATAAAATTGTTAAATCAGATGACATCGGAATCCTTTTTTGGCTTTCAATTGAAAGTGAGCTGCAATATAATAAAATGCGATAAATGGTATTACAAATGTATATCAAAATTTTATGCGCCAGAAACGGTTTCATGAAAACCTCTTTGGTTTCCAGTTTTCAGATACTGTCACTTTAGTTAGTTTGAAGTTATGTTTAGTTAATTTAATAGTAATTTGACAAATTGCAATTACAGTTTGCGTAAAATGGTCTAATGTAATTGTTGGTCGGACAAGAAGAGTCAAATACTTGTTTAGTAAGATTTTAATTTTGATTATTACTTATTCTCATTGTTAACCTTTTTCTCATCGAATCAATTATTAATTTCAGAGCAATCGTATTATTCGCCTGATTATGTTTGTAACTTCGTAAATCGACCTATTGATGTAACCTGTTTGAGCAAATTGTTTCCAAATTTAAGGGTTTGTTGACAGATTTTATATTATAATATTATTTAACTTTTATTGTTTTCTTTATTTTTTACAAATCTATATCTATGACAGATTGCCGACTTGTTTCACATATCAAATGTACTACGAAGTAATGAAACTATGATAATAAGAACTCCAACGAAAGATATTGATAAACTATTCAGAGATTCAGAATCTTTAAAAGGAATAATCTTTCCTTGTAATTACTATTTGGATTTCGAATTGATGCCGGAAATCGGTAACCTCGAAATGTTATCTACCGGATACCTCAGTCCAAAAATAAGTGGAATCTATGAAAATGTGAAACAATTGCACCTTTATGACTGTAATTTAGATCTATTCGAATCCATCGCACATTGTTTCCCAAATCTTGAAAGGATGAAAATTTATGCTGCAGACGGTAATTTCATAAATTATAAAATCTTTTGTATTAATAATTGCTTGTTGATGTCTTTTCTATGTTTAGATGGAAAAACTTATCGCCCTGATCATCCAGCAATGGCAAATCTTAAAATATTTGAAATGGCTTTTTACAGTTTTGATCGGCCTCGTGACATTAGCTGTTCATTTTTATTCATGGATTCGTGCCCAGCGTTACAGAGTGCTCATATCAGAATTGATTGCAATCAAATTGTGTTCAATGATTCGATAAAACATGCAAACTTACAAGATTTGGTTATACAATTTGTGAGTAGGATTTTGCCTGAGATGAATTTTATAATTTTATAGTTCTGAAAAGCGTGTTATCATGAATTTGTTTATCATTTTATTGTTGGTGTTCATGTTTGTCTCAATTGTGGGATAACTTTGATCCATCGACTGTTTTTGAAATTTTGAAACAACTTTTTTGCAATACAATTGTTATTTATTTGCAAATTGACACATTTCGTTATTTTAATAGTGCAAACCAATCGAATGGGATAAACTACGAAGGTTAATGTCAAAATATCCAAATCTAAAGCATTTGGCATTACGAGATACCTCTTTGGAAGATGAGTACATCGATCAATTAATATTAATTTTGCCAAAACTTACTCTACTTGATATTCGTGAGTCTTCTGGAGTCACTCGAGAAGCTGCTGATCATATTCGGGACTATTGTAAGCAGTATGGTCGTTCAATCAAGTTTCTTTCAGCAGAAGGCAGACACGGTGAATGGCCGCATATCTCACTAAACATATATGGATCAAATAAAATCTGTCGCGGATTTGATTTCATGGAACATTGTTTTTTCAATAGTTTCGATGATTTACCTCATTTTTTGGATCCAATAGATGATTGAAAATGCAAAAGATAACATAATTGTCAATCCTCTGCGTCTAAATTTTGTTCCAGCTTTAAGGAGTACGAGCTTTGATGACATGACTCGTCATCAATTGGAAAAACTTTCGTGCTTTAAACAACAGAACACTAAAGCTCACTTCATAACACGATTGATTAGCTACTAGATTCTGGGATTTGATACTTCAATTTCACATCGAAAACTCTGGTTCATAGTGAATTCAATTAGATCATTCCTAATTAAGATTGAGATTCTTTTTAAAAGTTTAATTAGTTGAGGAAGTTTAATCAAGATGGATAAAACAATCGCCAATCATGCAGCTTTAAATTAATATTTTTGTGGTTTTCGTTCCAAATTGGTTCCAAACTGCTTAGCTATTTTGTTTGTTTAGAGATATTTTTATTCATTTCCTCATTCATAACAGACAAATCAAGAGGTGTACGAAAAATTTTGTCCAGCACCATAGGTTGAAAACGTTAAAAGGGTCCACATCAGCTGATGGTGTTTTTTGAGTATTGAATTTTGCGAATTTTGCGTGCATATAGTTACTGTTGACGCCTGTCAAAAATATGTCGATCATGTGATAAAATATATACCAAAATGTATAAGCGGACTATGGACTGACACCCTTTTAACGTTTTCAAACTATTCTCATAGATATGTTCCTCTCATTTTGAACTCTGTTTCACGCCAAGTTAATTTTGTTTCATTCTTTTTGAACTCAACTTGAAAAATGTTTCACTTTTTCGATTTTGTGTTCGTCTCCAAGCGTTTTGGAGTGTACATAATGCATTTTGCTGACTATTTTCAAATCATTATCTTCAGATTATTCGAGTTTAAAGTTTGATTTGATATAACAAGATAACTTGCAAAATGCGTTCATTTACAATTGTTATTTTATGTCTCGTTGTCTACACTGTTTCTGGTGCAGCAATTGTATCACAAGACGAGTTGACTACTGAAAGTGCCATTGACAATCAGCAATCATCTGTAAACAATGAGGCTGAGGAACTTCTTAAGACTATTGATGACTTGCTGAAGGAGATCAATAATGCAAAGATACGAGGCACCTCTTTTAAAGATGAACACATCAAGCAATTGATATTAATTTTGCCAAAACTGACGCTAATATTTACGAATAAATCTTATGGAGTCACTCAAGAAGCTGCTGATCATGTTCAGGATTATTGTAAGCGTTATGGCCGATCAATCAAGTTTTATTTTAAAAAAGACGATAAACAAATTGAATCTGATTGGCCGCAGATATTGAATAGACCAGAAAAAGTTTGTCGTGGATTCGATTTCATGGAACATTGTTTTTTCAAAAATTTTTATGAATCACTCAATTTTTTAGATCCAGTAGATAATCAAAAATGAGAAGGAGAAAAAATTGTTAATCTTTTGACGCCAATCGGCTAATTTCCCTTCCTTCAGCCAAATTAAGTGGTTAACGTTAGTGCTGGATCCTTATGCGAATTTAAGATTATTGATTCTTACGCAATTTTTCAATCCATGATCATCGATAATCTATGTTTGATGAAAAAAGCTTAGGGCATAGTTGAAAAAATATCCATAAACGTAGAAAAACACATTCAGAAAGATTAATAAGCATCGATGTTTGTTTCTTGGTAATCGATGATCACTTAAGTCAGAAAATATCGATCACTATCGATTTTATCGATAACATCCACGTTAATTTTAGCTCTGTGATTTTTAATTTTATTATTAGTTAATAATTAATTTGTAAATTGTTTTATTATTTAATCATATTGGTCTTCGAAAACGCTACACGTAGATGTATCACACGAAATATGACATCCAAAAATAACAAAAATTAAAGAAAAAGAAATTTTTTAGTGCCATTAAATACAAGTGTTGTTATGAACCAAGAATTACATGACAGTGTTATTACTTATAATATACTAAAATTAATACATTCTTATTACATATAATAAATACACATTTTAATAAAATCTAACAAAATAATTAAAATCCCGTCATTTCAAACTCAAAACCAGCTCCGTCAAGCTTAGTATGGCACAAAGAGTGGTTATTAAAGCTGCTCATGTGACCCAGTCACTCAGGTGCGCAAGCACGCCAACCAATCCCTAGCTGCTAGTGAACTTGTCAACATTTAAGTTGAGATTCTCAACTTTAAACTGGACTGTCGTCTGAATGGACTAGCGGTGTTATTTAATAATTATTGTGGTTTTATTATTAACTAGAAATTGATTAAATTTAACGTTTCACAGGTGATTTAACGATGTCAATAAATGAACTTCCAGATGACTGCTTGCTGACTATTTTCGATTACATACAAGATTTACAAGATTTAATAAACTGCTTCAAAGGTAAGTGCAAATCATGCCATTTATTTATATTTTTAAATGTTAGGGAAATATTAGCATTATTGATAGCTATCAATTGAAACCACAGTTAAATACATGATACTCTCAAAAAAGCCCAACATATCAATCCAACTTTTATACGAAAGAAACGGTTATGCATGTGGTTGATCGTCTGACTGATAAATCGCAATATTCAGGTACCAATATTTTCGGTAATTTGAAGTCATGATTTGTAATTTAATAGTAATTTGACAAATTCCAATTTCAGTTTGCGAAAAATGGTCTAATGTAATTGTTGGTCGGACAAAAAGAGTCAAATATTTGACTGGTAAGATTTTAATTTCCATTTATGCTTATTTTCATTGTTCACCATTTTCCTAATGAATTTTATAATTACCGTAGTCGCGCGTATTATAGCCCTGGGCTTGAAAATGAATCAGGCATTTTTCTGGGCGTTTTTTAATTAAAGCATGCGTAAGTGACAATCACAAAAAAGAGTAAAAATGGTCAAAACGCTCGTTTTTAAGGTATTGTTTACATTTTGGTAGACATAATTGTGCAGAAATGGCTCTTAAAACTGTGCAAATGTGCAAAAGTTAGCTTCTCAATATTTAGCCCATGGGCTCCACGAACGAGCATCTATGGACTAGAAGATGAGAACCACGCATTTTTAAGCCCAGAGCTATAATACGCGCAACTACGGTACTTTATATTTTATATTTTATACTTTATAAATTTCAGACCAATGGTTTTATCCGCCTGATCATTTTTACAGTCTTGTAAATCGACCTGTTGATGTAACCTGTTTGAGCAAATTGTTTCCAAATTTAAGGGTTTGTTGACAGATTTTATATTATATTTCACTTTCATTGTTTCTATAGTTTTTATTTTTTTACTTTTCACAGATTGCTGACGTTACAATCCTATTACATGCAAAAGTACCAATCGAAGATATTGATAAACTAATCATAGATTCAGAATCTTTGAAAGGAATCATTTATAATAAATATTTGGATTTCGAATGGAAAATGGCGTACGCTAACCTCGAAATGCTATCTACCAGATATATTGATTCAAGCATGAAAGGAATCTATAGCAATGTGAAACAATTGCACCTTTGGAAGTGTGATTTCAAATACGTCGCACATTGTTTTCCAAATCTCGAAAGGCTGCAAATATTGAATTTAGAAGGTAATCTCATATCTTAAAATTTCATATAGTATTACAGTATCTTTTTTTAATTGTTTGCGGATGAACCTTTTTCATGTTTAGACAGAACAGACATTGCCACGATGGTCCATTAATGGTAAATCTTAAAATATCTTGAATTTTCTTCTAATGATGAATTTTTCTCTTCATTTATATGTTTAGACTTTCCAGAATATTACTCTGATGCTCCAGTATTGGCAAAGCTTAAGATAGTTGAAATAAATTTGCATCTGAATTGTAGGAAAGGCGTTTGTTGTTCACTTGTATTCATGGATTCGTGCCCAGCATTACAGAGTGCTCATATCGAAACTGAGTGCAGACGCATCGTGTTCAATGATGCGATAAAACATTCAAACTTACGAGATTTGGTTCTACAATTAGTGAGTATGATTTTGCTGTTGATATTTTATTTTATTGTCGATATTCCTTCATTTTTCTCAATTGTGGGATAACTTTGATCCGTCGACTGTTATTTTGAAACATTTCACATAGCAATTTAACAAATTGGTACTTATCTCTATTTTAATAGAGCAAGTCAATCATGTGGAATGACCTACGAAGACTACTGTCGAAATATCCCAATCTAAAGCATTTGGCAATAAGAGGCACTCGTTTAAAAGATGAACACATCAAGCAATTAATATTAATTTTGCCAAAATTAACACTTCTTGATATTCGTGAATCTCGTGGAGTCACTCAAGAAGCTAATAATTATGTTCAGGATTATTGTAAACATCATGGCCGATCAATCAAGTTTTATTTTAAAAAAGACGACAAACAAATTGAATCTGATTGGCCGCAGCTATTGAATCATGCAGAGCAAATTTGTCGTGGATTTGATTTCATGGAACATTGTTTTTTCAAAGATTTTGGTTCTTTGCCTCGTTTTTTGGATCCAATAGATGATTAAAAATGCAAAGGAGAAAAAATTGTCAATTCTTTGCACATAATTTTTGTGTCAGCTGTGAGGCGTAGCATGTTGAAAGAAATGTCGTGTATATCGATATCTCACCCAGACCATAATTATCGATCATAGATGAAATTGATGGACCATTAATGCTGAGTAATTACTAGTCTTGAAATATTGAAACTCGAAGCTTTTATTATTCAATGAGAAACCAATTGATAGATATTTTAAATACCATGTAATTATGCAATACCATTTCTTTTTCAATATCAAATCTTCAAGATTTCGGGTTTAGTTTCGAACACAATTTTCTCTAAAACCAGAGAAACTTTACTACTGCCTTTTAGACTTCATTTGCAAGACTCGAACTCAATTCTTAAATCTAAAGTTTGTGTGCTCCTTTGAATTAAATGAAGTAAAGTAGACAGAGGAAGATGGGAACATATCGTCAATTTTAACATCTAATCTAAGATTTCATAAGTCAGGTTCTCTTTCAAGCTGGACGGTTACCACTAACGTCATCGATTTTTTTTATAACTTTTTTGATCTCTTAAAAAAGCGATATTTATCGATATTAATTTTTTCGATATTTAAACTTCTTTACACAAAAAAATCTTCTGATATTGACCGAGAATGTATCGATATGATCGGTTTTTTAAAAATTGATCACGATCAAATTTTACTCTCCGATTATCGATCTTTTCGATCGATCAATCATATCGGAACAACACTAATCTCAGCTTCTTTTAGCAACTGACTTGTCGTCTGAATCGAATAAGTGTTTTATTTAAAAATTACTGTAGTTTTATTATTAACTGAAAATTGATAGTTAGCATTTCAAAGCTGATTTAAAATGTTGATAAATGAACTTCCAGATGATTGCTTGTTGGCTATTCTTGATTATATACAAGATTTGAAAGATTTAATAAACTGCTTCAAAGGTAAGTGCAATTATGCTATTTATTTAGATTTTTACATGTGAGGGGAATCAGATTATATTAGAATCATTGATCGCTATCAATTGAAATCATAGAAAATACATGATACAAGTGAAAAGCCAAACTTATTAATCCAGCTTTCATACGAAGAAACGGTTCCAATGAAGCCCTTTTTGCTATCCTGTTATGAATGTTGTTGATCGTCTGACTGATAAATCGCAATATTCAGATGCTAATATTTTCGGCAACTTGAATTCATGTTTTGTAATTAAATAGTAATTTGATGAATTCCAATTTCAGTTTGCGAAAAATGGTCTAATGTAATTGTTGGTCGGACAAGAAGAGTCAAATATTTGATCAGTAAGACTTTAATTGCCATTAATGCTTATTCTCATTGTCAACCATTTTCCTAATCAAATGAATTATTAATTTCAGATAAACCAAATTATTCGCCTGATTATGTTTGTAACTACGTAAATCGACCTATTGATGTAACCTGTTTGAGCAAATTGTTTCCAAATTTAAGGGTTTGTTGACAGACTTTATATTATTTAACTTTCATTGATTTATAATTTTTTTTCTCCCAAACATTATCATGACAGATTGCTTACCTTTCATCTTTGTTATTTGAAAAAGAACCAATCGAGGATATTGTTAAAGTAATCAGAGATTCAGAATCTTTGAAAGGAATAATTTTTGATGAAAAATTTGATTTTGTATTGATGGCGGAAATCGCTGACTTCCAAATGTTATCTATCGGATATATTAATCCAAACATAAGTGAAATCTATGGAAATATGAAACAATTGTGCCTTGATAACTCTAATTTAGATCTATTCGAATTGGGCCATCATTTTCCAAATCTTGAAAGGTTTCAATATAGGGGAGCAGGTAATCTTATAATATAATACATTTTTATATATTATTTCAATATTTTTTTAAAAGTGTTTGTAAACTGACCCTTTTCTGTTTAGACACAACAGATTATTGCTAAATTTTAAAATATTTTAACTTTTTCTAATGGTTAGTATGATGACTTTTGCTATTCATTTATTCATATATGCAAGACTTATCAGAACCTTATCCTGATGGTCCAGTATTGGCAAATCTTAAAATACTTGAAATGGAAATATCTCACGATTACTTCGAAGACGATTATTGTTCATTTGTATTGATGGATTCGTGCCCAGCATTACAGAGTGCTCATATCAGCATGAAACACTGTCCCTGTGAGGTCAATTATTCAATAAAACTTGCAAACTTACAAGATTTGGTTTTAGAATTTGTGAGTACAATTTCATATTTTATTGAGAAGTGTGTTATCTCGATATTGTTTATCATTTTACTGTCGATATTCCTTCATTTTCTCAATTATGGGATTAACTTTGATCTGCCATTAATGCCATTAGAACTTTGAAACATTTTTTTGAAAGCAAGTGGCATTTATACGATAGCATCTTAACAAATCTACAAATTTAAATTTATTTCTATTTTTGTTAGTTCGAGTCTAAGGAATGGAGTAGCCTACGAAGACTGATGGTAAAATACCCAAATCTAAAGCATTTGGCATTACAACGCATCTATTTAAGCGAGGAGGAAATCGTGGAATTGATACAAATTTTGCCAAAACTAACACTACTCGATGTTCGTAAATCTTATTCAGTATTCTTTGAATTCACTCAAGAAACTGCTGATCATGTTCAGGATTATTGTAAGCGGTATGGACGATCAATCAAGTTTTATTTCAAAGCCGAGGACAAACAAATTGAATCTGATTGGCCGCAGATATTGAATCGACCAGATAAAATTTGTCGTGGATTTGATTTCATGGAACATTGTTTTTTCAAAGATTTCACTGATTTGCCTTATTTTTTGGATCCAATAGATGATTGAAAATGCAAAAAATAACATAATTGTCAACCCTCTGCATCTAGTTTCAGCTGTATGATGTACGATATTGAAAGAAATATAACCCTTTATATATTACTCAGATCATAATTATGGATCTTTGATGTAATTGGCTGGTCAATACACCAATCAATGCTGGTTAACCACTAGTCTTGAATTATTGTCACGCAATGTTTTTGTCCTTCAATGAGAAACCTATTGATAAATATTATGAAGTATAAATAAATTGTGAATTGCATCTAACGAAAAGTTACAGTTGATGACATGACTCTACATCAATTGGAAAAAATTTCATGCTTTAAACAGAGCACTAAAGCTCACTTCATGACTTTATTTTATTCATTAGATACTAGATTCTATAATTTGATACTTCAGGTTCATAGACGATCCAATCAGATCATTACCTAATTAAGATTAAGGACTAATAATGACTTGATCGCTTAACCTAACTTGCTTCTTCAAAATGGTTGCCGAATTTTGTAGAACTTTTATAATCTCTCTGCATGAAAGCTTTAAGAATCGAAGAATCATTTAAACTTCAGCTGCTCATGCAAACCAATGTATTTTCAAGTTCATAAAGCGCGAACCTGCTGCATCTGTGTGATTTTTTTAGATGAGGCTCGACACGTCGGACAAAATACTTGATAGCATTTTCCGATCTATTTCGTATTAAACTGGGATGAGTATCGCTAGTGTATAAAATGAATCTTTTTGATTATTTTCAAATCATTATCTTCTGATTATTCGAGTTTAAAGTTTGATTTGATTTACAAATCCCTTGCAAAATGCGTTCATTCACTATTGCTATTTTATCTTTCGTTGTCTACACTGTTTCTGGTGCAGCAATTGTATCTCAAGACGAGTTGACCACTGAAAGTGCCATTGACAATCAGGAATCATCTGTAAACAATGAAGCTGAGGAACTTCTTAAGACTATTGATGACTTGCTGAAGGAGATCAATGATGCTTTGGCCAACAATCGACCTCGACCACCCTTCAATTTACCCCAACCACCATTTGGCTTACTTCATCCTCCATCCTTCGGGCCAAGACCATTCCCTGGATTCAGACATTTTGATGAAGATGCAGATGACGATGATGATGATGAGAAGCTTGGATTGAAGACCATAAACATTTTAGAGAATTTAGAGGATTTGTAACCAGAAATTCGGAGGTTCTCGACGATTTGGTGAAAATGAACTATTTGATGGACGTTTTGGCAATCAAAGATTTGGTGCTAACAGATTCCGACACAACTGGTAATGGAAATGCAGTCTATTGTATTAAACTGAGCTATAACACATCTCATTTTCATGACAAATAAAATAATTATTTGATGATATCGAGAATTTAAAATTATTTCTGTCTAAACCTAAAGTTTTAGGTTGGCTAGAGTTATTATGAAGATGGCATTTTAATACCATTATGCCAAATTTGCTTCATCCATGTTGATAAATTAACTTTTAGATGATTGTTCGCTGACTATTTTTGATTATAAAAAAAGAATCAAAGATTTAATAAACTGCTGCAAAGTGAAACCCATGCAATACAAAGTGATTCTCGTTTGAATAGAACCAATGGCTTTCAAATGACTAGAAATTATTTACATAAAATTAAAAACTCTCGAGTTAAAAATTATCTTTATAACAACATACAAATCTATGTGTGTTGTTTCTTTATCTCAAATGTATAAATCTAACTTTTATATTGATTAAACCTCTTTTGTTATCCTAAGATTATTTATTCAAGCGCAATATTCGGATATTTTTAGATAGTCTGAAGTTATGTTATGTCGGACTACTGATAACAGTGAAGTCCGAGCGTGTCATTCAACCCTAAAAACTATTGTAACTTGCTAACCCACTTTAATAGGTAGTAAAGTTACATGAGAACATGAATTGGATGAAAGAGATTACATAACTCTACAAAAGCGTGCGAAATTCAGTGTCTCGAACCATTTTCTCGAAAAGCAGAGAAACTTTATTATTGCCTTCTAGACTTCATTTGCAAGATCACCAAAACTCAACTCTTATTAAGAGTCTCTTAACTCTCAACAAAACTTCAATCCAAAGTTTGTGCATATACTTGAATAAAATGCAGTAAAGTAAATAATAGACAGAGGAAGATGAAAAAATATCGTTAATTTTAACATTAAAACTAGGATTTTATAAATGCGGATCACATTCAAGCTGAGAAGGTTACCAATAACCGGTTACTCGTTTTAAAACGCTAGTTACTAGTATAGCCGGTTACTTTTCCTTTTCCACTAACCAAATAACGGGCTAAAGGTTACCGGTTAATGGTGAATATATCGCTCAACTTTCAACTGACTTGTCGTCTGTATCGACTAGCTGTGTTATTTAATAATTATTATAGTTTTATTATTAACTGGAAATCGGAGTTTAACATTTCAAAACTGATTTAAAATGTTGATAAATGAACTTCCAGATGATTGCTTGTTGGCTATTCTTGATTATATACAAGATTTACAAGATTTAATAAACTGCTTCAAAGGTAAGTGCGAATTATATCATTTACACCCAAACCCTGGGGACCAGCTCTTTCCACCGCATCCGCCACTTTTTTACCGTCTTTTCACCGTATTGTCCACCATATTGTCGACCCTTTAGAGTGGATATTTGATTTGGTTGATTTGGTGGATGTGTTAGACTGGGTGGTGAACAATATGGTGGACAATACGGTGAAAAGACGGTAAAAAAAGTGGTGGAAAAAAGTCGGTGTATTTAAATTGTAAAATGTGAGGAAAATCAGATTATATTGAAATCATTTATAGCTATTAATTGAAACCACAGTTAAATATACGATTAAATGATGCTCTGATAACCTGTGGTGAAAAATTATGTTACAAATTGTTCATTCTTTGTTTATTTAATTAATAATTGATCAATATTTTCAAAGTTGGTCTCTATTGATAGCCAGGGATCAGAGGCTCTTTCGTATGTAAGATAATCCTTTCTAATCCGCCTCGTTCATTTTAAATTTGAGATTAGCCACGAGGCTTTCAAAATAGCTAGCATTGAATTTTTTGAGATTATTTTTGATTCTTTTGTTAATTGCTCGGAATTCTGAGTGACAAATCGACCCGAATTAACACAATTATTTAATTGATTCTTAAAGTTTCAATTTGTCTTAATTTTAGAAGTTCATGCTTTAAAAACGCCCCGCAGTGTAAATTTGAAAAATTATTGGAAATTTTTGTTGAATTTTACGAGCATTTTCGATCATTTCAAAAAATCGTAAATGTTGGATAACTTTTGAACCATAATACGGATCGATCTCAGATTTAAATCCAGTATTGACGCAAATCTGATCCCTATTTCCTGAAAATTTCAGGCTTATAGCTATAAAACTTAATAGAAATTCCAATCAAAATATTTGTAACATAATTTTTCACCACAGGTTAGTACAATGAAAGCTCTTTTGCTATCCTGTTATGAATGATGTTGATCGTATGACTGGAAGAGCTAAATATTTGGTTACTAATATTTTAATTTAGGATTAATTCGACAAATTTCAATTACAGTCTTCGAAAAATGGCGTGATATAATTGTTCATTATACTAAAAAAATTAAATATTTAAGAAGTAAGTTTAAATTTTCATTGATGTCTATTCTCATTGTGATTGTTTTCCTATTAAAATCAATTATTAATTTCAGATCAACCAAATTATTCGCCTGATTATGTTTATCTGCACCTTAAGGAACCAATTGATGTAACATGTTTGAGCACATTGTTTCCAAATTTAAGGGTTTGTCGACAGATTTTATATTATTTCACTTCCATTGTTTATGTAGTTTTTATTTTTAATTCAAATCTCATCAAAACAGATTGCCGAATTTTCATATCCACTCGAAGTACCAATTGAAGATATAGTTAAACTAATCAGAGATTCTGAATGTTTGAAAGGAATAATCCATTATGGGGCTAACTTTAAGGATCCCCGCCTCGATTTCGAATCGATACCGGAAAATGTTAGCCTCGAAATGTTAACTACCGGATATATTGATCGAAACATGAGTGGAATCTATGAAAATGTGAAACAATTGCACCTTTTGTTCTCTAGTCTAGGCCTATTCGAACGCGTGGCACATCGTTTCCCAAATCTTGAAAGGCTGAGAATTCATGCTGCAGAAGGTAATTTCATGAATTATCTTTTATAATTGCTTGTCGACTAACCTTTTTTATATTTAGACTTATTCGAACAGCCCTCTGTTGCTCCAGTAATGGCAAATCTTAAAATATTTGAAATAAATTTGCCTGTTGATGATTGGGTAACCCTTTGCTTTTCATTCATGGATAAGTGCCCAGCATTACAGAGTGCTTATATCAGATTTGAATCCAGGCGCATTGTGTTCAATCATTTGATAAAAAATGCAAACTTACTAGATTTGGTTATACAATTTGTGAGTATGATTTTTTGTCGATATTTATTCATTTTTCTCAATTATGGAATAACTTTTATCTGTCGACTTTTATTTATATTTTGAAACGATTTTATTTTCAGTGCAAATGTTATTTATTCACATAGCAACTTACAGTTTAACTCCGTATATTTTGATTTTTTGCAGTGCAGACATCTAGGTGAACTACAGGGGAAACAATTAATTTTACAGTTTAAACAGTTAGTCAATCCTAATGACCCCCCCTGAAGTGAAGGGTAGAAAGGCTAAAAAAAATCAAAATATACGAAGTTGAACTGTATTTCTATTTTAACAGAACGAACAAATCGGATGGGATAAAATACGAGGACTAATAACAAAATATCCAAATCTAAAGCATTTGGCATTGCGAGGTAATACCTATTTTACAGATGAAGACATCATGGAATTGCTATTAGTTTTGCCAAAACTAACACTACTTGATATTCGTGGATCTTATGGGTTCACTCAAGCTGCTAACCATTTTCAGGATTATTTTAAGCAGTATGGCCGATCAATCAAGTTTTATTTCAAAAGAGACGATAAACAAATTGAAGTTGATTGGCCGCAGTCATTAAATCGACCAGAAAAAATTTGCCGTGGATTTGATTTCATGGAACATTGTTTTTTCAAAAGTTTCTATTATTTGCCTCATTTTTTGGATCCAATTTAATGCTTGAAAATGGAAAAGAGAAAAAATTGTCAATTCTTTGCACCTAATTTTGTTTCAGTTGTAAGGTGTGTGATATTGAAAAAGTGTCTTATACCTCGATATCTTAATTAGACCATAATTATCGATCTTAGATGGAGTTGACGGGTCATTATACCCATCAGTTCGGGTAATCATTAGTTTTGGAATATTTAGACTCAAAGCTTTTATTCCTCAATGAGAAACCAATTGATAGATATTTCAAATAATCAGGCAATGCCATTCTTATTTAATATGAAATGCAAAGATTTGAGAGAGTCCAATTACAGTCTGCGAAAAATGTTATAATACAATTGTTTATCGAACTAAAAATGTTTAATTTTTATAATTTATTTTGGTTTACAATGTACAGTAGTTGGTAGTTAGAACAACAAATCAACTAGAAATACTGCTGATAACAGTGAAGTCCAAGCGTGTCATTCAACCCTAAAAACTCTTTTAACTTGTTGACCCATGATAAGATGAATTAAATGAAAAAGATTCCATAACTGTACAAAAGCGATCGAAATTTAGTGTCGAACACCATTTTCTCGTAAACCAGAGAAACTTTATTATTGCCTTCTAGACTTTATTTGCAAGATCACCTAAACTCAACTCTTAACTCTCAACAAAACTTAAATCCAAAGTTTGTGCATATACTCCTTGAATAAAATCAAGTAAAGTAGACAGAGGAAGATGAGAAAGAAAACTAGGATTTTATAAATCAGGTTCTCTTTCAAGTTGGGACGGTTACCATTAGTGTTGGCCGATCAAGCAATTCAAGTCTGATCGATTTTCTTGGTCATAGAAAAAAGATAAATCGATTTTGTCGATTTCATCGATTTTATCGATTTCATCGACTGTTCGATCGTTCGGTTGTCCGATCGTAAGTTTATTAAATTGACAAAGTACAAGAAAAGACGAGTTTAAATGTAAATATCAGGCAATGAGTCAAGAAAAGATAGCAATTCAACATTTTTAGGCTTCAATCCGTTCCGTTGCTCAGTGATTAATAATCCAATTTTTGAAAATAAGCGTTCACACGGTACTGAAGGGGCTTGCATAGTTAGATATTTCAATGCTAGATTGTGAGATTTCAGAAAAGGTTAGATCTTCTGATCTTTAAATCGTCGAAATCAAAAAATTAAACAACTATTGCCTTTTGATTAGTCAAAGGATTCTAAAGTAGCCATTTCTGGTTAAATCGATCTCTTCATTTTCTTGATCGATCTGAAACAGAGGAGCCTATTGTCGATTTAAATCGATTTACGATTGATCATAACCCAACACTAGTTACCATTAACCGGTTACTCGGTTTACTATAAACGCTATTTAGTAATTCTGTATAGCAATTAACCGGTTACTTTTCTTTCTCCACTAACCAAATAACGGGCTAAAGGTTACCAGTTAATGGTGAACATATCGCTCTACTTTCACTGACTTGTCGTCTGAATCGACTAGCCGTATTATTTAATAATTATTATAACTGGAAATTTATTAAAGTTAACATTTCAAAGCTGATGTACAATGTTAATAAATGAACTTCCAGATGACTGTTTGCTGGCTATTTTTGATTACATACAAGATATAAAAGATTTAATAAACTTATTCAAAGGTAAGTGCGATTATGCTATTTATTTTGACTGTTAAATGTGAGTAAAATCAGAATATCTTAGCTATGGTAGCTTTCAATTGAAATCACAGTAAAACACAGTACGATACAGCATTTATGCTTTATCCAACTTTTATGCAGATGAAGCCTCTTTTATTGCCTACAAATGAATGATGCTTATCGTCCGGCTGAAAGAGCGCAATATTTGGTTACGAATATTTCAATTTAGGATTAATTCGACAAATTTCAATTACAGTTTTCGAAAAATGGAGTGATATAATTGCTGATCGGGCTAAAAAGCTTAAATATTTGATTGGTAAAATTTAAATTTTCATTGATGTCTATTCTCATTGTGATTCTTTCCCTAATAAAATCAATTATTAATTTCAGATCAACCAACTTATTCGCCTGGTTATGTTTATCTGCACCTTAAGGAACCAATTGATGTAACATGTTTGAGCAAATTGTTTCCAAATTTAAGGGTTTGTTGACATATTTTATATTTCATTTCAGTTTCATTGTTAACGTAGTTCTTATTTTTACAAATCTTATCAAAACAGATTGCCGAATTTTCATATTCATGCGATGAAGAAGCACCAATCGTCGATATGATTAGACTAATCAGAGGTTCAGATTCTTTGAAAGGAATAATATTTGATTGTGATTACCATCTGGCATTCGGATGCATACCGGAAAACGCTAACCTCGAAATGTTATCTACCGGATATATTTATCCAAACATAGATGGAATCTATGAAAATGTGAAACAATTGCACCTTTGGAACACTAATCTAGGTCTATTCGGATGCGCGGCACATCGTTTCCCAAATCTTGAAAGACTGAAAATTTATGCTACAGAAGGTATTTTCATACATTATCTTTTATAACTGTTTGTTGACTAACCTTTTTCATGTTTAGATTTACGAGAAGAATACTCTGATGCTCCAGTATTGGCAAATCTTAAAATACTTGAAATGGGTTTGCCTCTCATTGATTGTGTAGGCACTTGCTGTTCATTCAAATTCATGGATGGGTGCCCAGCATTACAGAGTGCTCATATCAGAATTGATTCCAGTCGCATTACCTTCAATCGTATGATAAAACGTGTGAACTTACGAGATTTAGTCATACAATTTGTGAGTAGGATTTCGCTTCTGATATATTTGTCATTTTACTGTCCATATTTATTCGTTTTTTTCAATTATGTGATACTTTGATCTCTCGACTTTTATTTATATTTTGAAACAATTTTTTTCAATGCAATCGAGTAGCGTCTCAACGAATTTACATTTATTTACATTTTAATAGTATCAACCAAGCGAATGGATTGAACTACCAAGATGCATGTCGAAATATCCAAATCTGAAACATTTGGCAATACGAGGTACCTCTTTAAAAGATGAACACATCAAGGAATTGATATTAATTTGCCAAAACTAACACTACTTGATGTTCGTAAATCTTATGGAGTTACTCAAGAAGCTGCTGATCATGTTCAGGATTATTGTAAGCGTTATGGTCGATCAATCAAGTTTTATTTCAAAAGAGACGATAAACAAATTGAAGCTGATTGGCCGCAGTCATTAAATCCGTGGAAAAAAGTTTGTCGTGGATTTGATTTCATGGAACATTGTTTTTTCAAAAGTTTTTATCAGTTACCTAATTTTTTGGACCCAGTAGATGATTAAAAATGAGAAGGAGAAAAAATTATTGATCTTTTGTACGTAGTTTTTGTTTCAGTTGTGAGGTGTACGATATTGGAAAAAGTATCTTACACCTCGATATCTTACTGAGATCTTAATTATCGCTCTTAGATGGAATTGATGGACCATCACACCACTCAGTGCTGGGTAACCAATAGTATTGTAATATTGTGATTCAAAGTTTAAAACCTTCGATGAAAAACCAATTGATAAATAATATAAATGATTAAGTGATTGTAATTCCATTCTTATTCATTATCGAACTGCAAACCTTTTAGATTTAAAGCCATGATATTATAGTTATCTATTTATATTGATTTCGTATATTGTCAAATAATTGATATTTGTTCAAGAATAAAAATCAAAACAAGTTTAGCCAATAGCTTCAAATATAAAAGAAAGACTTTAATATTAATAACAATATTTTAGAAAGCATTTAAAGCTCATTACACCAGATTGTAAATGTTAGCTACCTCTTCAAAATAAGGCCATGTCTGAAACACCCAAACCAAAGAAACAAATCGTTATTTGAAATAATTTGGACAGCTAAGCTGTTGCGCTTCAATCTGACTTGTCGACTGACTTGTGAGTAGACCAGCTGAGTTATCTAATAATTATTATAGTTTAAACTTGAAATCAAAGAGTATAAATCTTTGCTAAGGATCGATCAGAACCTAACCGGTTGCTCGCTTTATAACACTAGTTAGTATAAACGCTAATCGGCCAATTTCACTCCTCCAGCCAGAAAAAGTGGTTAACGTTAGTGCTGGACCATTATGCGAATTCAAGATTATTGATTTTTACGCAATTTTTCAATCCATGATCATCGATAATCTAAGTTTGATGAGAACATTCAGGGGATAGTTGAAAATAAAAATGACCACCAAAAACACCAAAAAAAGCTTCAACAGCATGGTAAAAAGGAAATCAGTAAGATTAATGAGCATCGATGTTTGTCTTTTGGCAATCGATGATCACTAAAGTCAAGAAATATCGATCACTATCGATTTTATCGATAAAATCGCCCAGCACTTAACATTTCAACTTTCAACTGACTTGTCGTCTGAATCGAATAGCTGTGTTATTTAATAATTATTATAGTTTTATTATTAACTGGAAATCGATTAAAGGAAACATTTCAAAGCTGATTTAACAATGTTGATAAATGAACTTCCAGATGATTGCTTGTTGGCTATTTTTGATGCCATACAAGATTCAAAAGATTTAATAAACTGCTTCAAAGGTAAGTGCAAATCATTTCATTTATTTAACTTGCGTGAGCGAGATCAGATTATATTGAAATCATTTATAGCTATAAATTGGAACCACAGTTAAATGATGATAAAAGCTCAACATATTATTATTCAAAATTTATACGAAAGAAACGGTTTCAATGAAAGTTCTTTTGCTATCTTGTTATGAATGTTGTTGATCGTCTGACTGATTAATCGCAATATTCAGATACTAATATTTTATTTAGTTTGAAGTTATGTTTATTTGATTTAATAGTAATTTGATGAATTTCAATTCCAGTCCGCGAAAAATGGTGTAATGTAATTGTTGGTCGGACAAAAAGAGTCAAATATTTGATCAGTAAGATTTTAATTTCCATTGATGCTTATTCTCATTGTCAACCATATTGTTAATAAAATCAATTATTAATTTCAGATCAACCGCTTGATTATTTTTGGAATTTCGTGCAGGAACCCGTTGATGTAACCTCTTTCAGAAAATTGTTTCCAAATTTAAGGGTTTGATTTTATTAGGGGCTTCAAAAGTTCTGTCGTTTTTTTTCTTATGATTTAGCTTAGGTTTTGAATAAGTTTGTCTATCAATGACTCGATAATTTCAGGAATCCAATATAATTAATTAGCTATACAATACATGCATGTACTAACAATGAAGTTAGTTGGAGAGACAATTAAAAGTTGCCAGAACTTATTGATTTTTTTTTGCTGGAAAAATTAAGATTAAAATCACAAGTTAACATTAACGTTTATATAATGACTTACAAATGAGTAAAATTTGAAACTTCTAATCACTATCATGTAACATGATTCAGGTTGCTATTGTAGTTAATCAACTCCGATCGAGTCCAAAAATGGCATAAATGCACTCATACTGATGCTCTTGTATTCCTGAAATTATCGAGTCAATTGAATAAGTCAAACTTATTCAAAATCTAACAAGGGAAGATTCTCAGATCGCAAAGTTAGATCTTGTTGAAATTTCGTAGGTACATAGCGCATGCGCTCCTCTGACCATACGTAATCGCTTTTGATTCGCAATTGTCTAGTTTTTGTTTAGCGTTCATTCGAAATTTCAGACATTTTGTATTTTCAATAATTACAGTTCTTATATTTCGTGTTTTTTTATTAAAGCTGAGATGGATATCAACCCAATCAACATCTGTAATCTCATTAGAGAGGATTTAATACGTGAATTCCCTAATCAAACATCTACACCTGTGACCCTTGAGGAAAAACGCTTCTCATCATATCTTTGTGAACAAATCAAAGCGAAAATAGCCCATTCTTTGGTAATTGAGGATGAAATCTCCCTTGTGTTTGCTGATGAAGCTGATAGTGATGATGAAGTCGAAATTCTTTATGAAGATCCTGGAGCTGGTCCATCAATTATTAAAACAAGTCAATCGTCAGAGTCAACATCTTCACAAACTTCCAGTTCAACATCAAGCCAGGAAGAAGTAGTTGCAGCTAAGCGGAAAAAAGCTATCGAGTTGAGACTTTCAGAAGCGAAAAGACGTGAGATTTATGAATACAAGCAAAGTGGTAAATCTTACAATGAGTGTATGAAAAAATTCAAAAAGCCATTACACGAATTGAGAGCTATATGTGCAAGTTTTGAATCTGGCGGATCAAATGAATTCAAGCTCATGAAAATTCATGAATTTACTAAAGATAAATTTACAGAGGCGCGACTAGCTGGTAAAATTATTCACTATTGGCACATTCAGCAATGGGCTCGGGAACGAGCAACACAATTAGGAATTACCAATTTCAAGGCATCAAAGACGTTTTTATTGAATTTCAAGCGAAATAATGGAATATGTTCGAGAAAAATTACTCGTTTTGCAACAGCTAAAACTATCACTGGAGAGACAGAAATTTTGGAAAAAGCAAGAGAATTTGTAGAAGAGGTTAACCAGCTTATTTCAAATGAAAATATACCTGATGAATTTATTTGGAACACTGACCAATCAAAAATTGAATACGAGATGACATCCAATCGTACATTATCAATTCGAGGAGAGAAAGATACAGTCGCAACAGTGCAGAATCTTTCAGCAACAACTCACTCTTATACAATACAACTAATGACAAACAAAGCTGGTTATCTTGGCAAAAAAATTTACATTTGTTTTCAAGAGACAAAGGGTGAATTTGGTCCTCGAGTCAATTCCGATATTCAAAGAATCATGGATGCCTATCCTAATGTTCATGTAGAGGCAAGTAAAAGTGGTAAAATGGAACGTAAAAATCTAATAGGTTTCGCTCAATCAGTTGCCAAGGACATTTTCGGACCTAGAAATGTTTTATTGCTCGACTCATTCACTGGCCATCTTGACACAAGCATTTACACAGAAAATATTGGCGAAAAAGAGGTAATTCTGAAGTTTATTCCACCAAAAGCGACTAAATATATTCAACCGCTGGACGTCTATTTCTTCAGACAATACAAAATTATCATGAGAAGAGCTTCAGACTACGTCAGAACGATTTTGCCCACAGAAGAAGCTACTACCAAGTTAAAAGACAGAGAGTTCATCGTTAAATTGAATTCGGTAACTCACAATCAGTTATCAGCAGAAATTTTCAGACCAATGCACAAATACGCCTGGCAAAAATCTGGTTATGAAATGTCTGAACCTATTGAAAGCTTTGAAAACGTTCTGGAAGCAATTTTCAATCATCAAAATGAAAACTGCAATGAAATTTCATGTGAAAATCCATGTTTTATCATTTGTGCCTATTGTAGGAAAAATTTATGTTTCAATCATTTTGTATTAACCAATATTCATATGCATTATAATAGTGATGAATAAAGAATTTGATTTTGATTTTTGAAAAAACTATTGAGTTGCGAATCAAAGGCACGGGTATGCTAATTATATCAGTAATAAGCTATGAATTTACCAAGTTTGAAAAAAATCTGACTTTGCGATCTGAGAACCTTCCCTTGTAAGCTAAATCATAAAAAAACGACTGAGCTTTTTGATACCTTGTTACCTCTAATATTTCACTTTCATTGTTTCTAAGGTTTATTTTTTTACAAATTTTATCATGACAGATTGCTGAATTTTCATATCTACACTATGGAAGAGCATCAATCGAAGGTACTACCAAACTAATCAGAGGCTCAGAATCTTTGAAAGGAATAATTTATGATGGTCGTTTGTGTTTCGAATACAAAACGGAACACGCTAACCTCGAAATGTTATCTTCCAGATATATTCGAATATATATTTCAAACATAAGTGGACCCTGTGAAAATGTGAAACAATTGCGCCTTTTTGGCTCTGATCAAACTGAACTCGAATGCTTGGCACATTATTTTCCAAATCTTGAAAGGCTACACATTTCTAGATTAAAAGAAGGTAATCTCCTAATATCTTAAAATTTCATTTATTATTTCAATATCTTTTCATAATTGTTTATTGACGAACCTTTTTCATGTTTAGACACAACAAAGTACCCAGTATTGGCGAATCTTAAAATAGTTGAAATAAATTTGTATCCGGATAGTTGGTTCAACCCTTGGTGTTCATTTAAATTCATGGATTGGTGCCCAGCATTACAGAGTGCTCATATCAGAATTGAATATTGTCAAATACACTTCAATGATTCAATAAAGCATGCAAACCTACAAGATTTGGTTATACAATTTGTGAGTTAAAAGTTTCATTTATAATTCTGAAAAGCGTTATTCGCAATACTGTACATCATTTCATTGTCGACATTCATTCGTTTTTCTCAGTTGTGGGATAAACTTTGATCTGTCGCCTGTTATTTAAAACTTTGCAACATTTTTTTGATTGCAATTGTTATTACAATTACTTTAATAGCATCAACCACTCGAATGGAATGACCTACAAAGACTAATGTCGAAATATCCAAATCTAAAGCATTTGGCAATACGAGGCACCTCTTTAAGAGATGAACACATCAAGCAATTAATATTGATTTTGTCAAAATTAACACTTCTTGATGTTCGTGAAT